CATCTTCACCTCCATATACAAAAAGTCGGAGGAACGGAATATGAACGCTTTCTTTCTGAAGGCARTGAAAATAGGGACCCTTCTTCCAGAACTGTAAGTTTCTGTTTGTCCCAAATAAAAGACCGTTTACCAAACGCTTACCTGGATGTTTTGGATTATATGTTTGATTTTCCAGGTTGAGGTAGGTAGTTTCATACACTAATTAATTTTGTGATAAAAAAGATCCACTAATAATACAGTAAAGATCATTAGCTACTTGCACATGAACACCATCCACACACAATCTTCTTAAAAGGAAAAATCTACAATATCAAATCAAATGCAGAGTCCTTCATCAGAACAACAAATGAAAATACATGACTTACCTGCCAACCATTCTATTATTTTAAAAGTAAATGACATATCTGCATGCATGGGTTGTTATCATAAATAATYACATTGGTGAAAAAGTCTTACTTTCTAAACTTTTCTTTTCACAAGAAACCMGTAAGTAAATCAACACCATATATAAGACCCTTTTTCTTAGGTGCCACAAGTTGCGGTGTGTCCTTGCGCTGCAAATTTGGCTTGCTTTTTATGCGTCAACGCATGTCCTTGTTATAATATTCGTGTTCCGTTAACTCGTACAAATTAATTTAAGTGAATTTTTGGTAGAATTGTTCATAATATATATATGTACCCTATGCTTAACCAATTTGTACCTCATACTAGTTTTGTGTCAAAAGTTGAGTTTATACCTATTTTGACATAACGTTATAGACTTGAAGGGTTAAAGTCGCCAAATAGTTAAATTATATATATATATCGGGGTGGGTTAAAATAAAAACCACTCAATTTGTAAAAACCKTGAAAACCTCATTCAACCAATCATAATTTTTTATTTTGTTCATTTTTTTGTAATTATGAGAGGTTGATTAACCATTTTTATTGTGGAGGGTGTTAGTTATGGATATTATCATCTTCATTATTTTAATTTTAGAGAAATACATGAAACAATTTCATTAAA